AGACTATCTTCAACTCGGTCAATGTGTTAATTGGTATCGGCCTGCTGAGTCTTCCATTGGCGATGAAACATGCCGGGTGGCTCTTGGGATTGTTATTCCTCATCTTCTCGGCAGTTACCACTTCCTATACAGCCAAGATCCTGGCTAAATGTCTGGATGTCGACCACAGCGTTGTCACGTATGCTGATCTGGCCTATATCAGTTTCGGACAAAATGCCCGTTTGATAACCAGTTTTCTGTTCTGCCTGGAACTTTTAGGAGCATGCGTGGCGCTGGTCGTGCTCTTTGCAGACAGTTTATATGCCCTGGTACCAGGATTGAGCATCCTCCAATGGAAGATCGTCTGTGGTGTTGTGCTTGTTCCGCTCAACTTCCTGCCGCTACGATTCCTGAGTATTACTAGCATATTGGGTATAATTTCGTGCACATCAAGTAAGTCTTCTTCTGAACCGAGGCCAACAGATGGAACTGACACTCGAAAGTTGTTGTACTCATTTGCATCGATGGCTTTATCAAGCCAAATGCGCCGGGCTCCTTGCGGCAACCAGCTAATACATTCCTCTTTCCTGAAAACTGGGCTACCCTCCCTCTGAGTTTTGGTCTTATTATGTGTGAGTAAACAGCCAAAAGCAATTATGATCACAAGGCTAACTTGCTTGAAAGCACCATGGGGTGGCCACGGTGTCTTCCCTAACATCTACAGAGATATGAGGCACCCTCAGAAATACGGCAAGAGCCTCTGGGTGACCTATCTCTTTACAGTAAGAACATCAAGTGACCAGAATAAAGTTGGATTCTAACAAGGTGACAGTTTACTTTGGACTGCTCAATGGCGATCATTGGTTGGCTCATGTTTGGCGACAACGTCCGCGACGAAATCACTGCGAACATTCTCACCATCACCAGCTACCCACAGTCCCTGTCCGTCTGTATTGTAGTCTTCATTTCGATCATCCCGCTCACGAAAGTGCCATTGAAGTGAGTCCAATACCTTCCATTTGTCCTCGGACACTGCTGACAAGAACATAGTGCCCGACCTCTTGTGGCCACATTTGAAGTTCTTTGTGGACTCGGAGGCGGCCATGTGCCTGGGAATGGCTCGGAGACACTACACAAATTCTCACGGGCAATGGTCCGCGTTTTTGTAGTGGCCTCGATTGTTACTTTGGCGGTCATCTTCCCGGCTTTCGACCGTATCATGGCTTTCTTGGGATCGTTCTTGTGCTTCACGATCTGCATCATCTTCCCTCTTGCATTTTATCTCAAGATCTTTGGAAAGGAGATTAGTCGAGGCGAGTACATCCTTGACTGGATCCTGCTCATCATCTCCTCGATATTGGCAGCCGTGGGGACCGTCTGGGCTTTCTTGCCACAAGAGATGCTCACTGTGAACTAGATCCCACCTGCAGCAGGGTACACGGAGTATAATAGCATTTTGATTTGCATGCAGATAATCACTTCTTGTTGAGAATGACGGCGAAATTGTTCCTTGTTTTGCCGGACCTCAACTCTTCCTTCTTAAAATTTTTAGGCGCGTAGGTGCCGGTGTGTTCCCAGAGATGGAAGACCAACTTTGAAGTCCGCTTAGTTTGTGTTAGACGGAAGCCCAGGCAAGTCATGATCTCCCCTAGTCTTTCTTCGTTGAGGTAGCGCGAGTTGTCCACGCATGCGATAGGCAATACCAGAAAGAGACTGGGAATGAGTTCAATAGGGCATTTCGAAGTCAAGAACTTGACACAACGCTTGAGCATTTCACCCCGTCCCGTAGCATCAGGAACATAGTTGAGCACTAATGACAGACTGATCATGTTGAAACGTTCATCATCACTGGTGGGCAAAGGTCGCTCCATGAAATCTTGCTTGAGAATCCCAGGCTCTTGGGAATTCAAGTCGATCCGGGTGACATCTAAGGCCGAGTTCGTAGAGCAGGCGTTTTTGGTGCTCAGAGCTCCAACTTCAAGAACACGGAGCTTTGGAATGGTGTTGTTCCATAGCTTCAATTGCGGCTTAATCCAGTCAACGAGGACTTTGCTCGAATCCCCACCGCGATCCATCGACTGGCCTAGCTTACTGGCGATCTGATAGCTTTCGAGACCGCCATTGGCTTCGATTTGAGCGTCAATACTGCTGACTCGGGCTTCGTCCCCGGCAGCCAGAGCTTGAGCCCGGACTTTGAGAAGTCGATGATGGGATCGAATCAGAGTGCGGGTAGCCTTTGCTGAAAGAGCAGCATCCTTGGGTTTGACAATGCGAGGCCGACTATGCGACAACAACATCGGCCTCTTGGATCGTTTTTGGGGAGCCATGCCTTAATGATCGCGACAGATCAAAAGATTAGAATGATAGATTCAGATACTAGGAGTATATTGTTGTCTTCGGGTCTCCTTGAGGGCTGAATATACAAAAAAGGAGAGGAGGTCACTGGCATGCAAAGAAAAGCCGTTCAAGGAAATGAAAAGAGAGATAAATACGATGTTAATTCTGATTGGACGAAAAAGTAACCATACCGTACTTCTCTGTACTGAAAAATACCAAAGATACCAGAACCAGCGGACCGAAGGTCACCTGACCCACACACAGCACTAGGGTTTTCGCTAAGCGAAGACCACTCCAAATCCGTTCGACTTTTGACACTGCGATAATTCATCATCGACAGCGACCGACGACAGCCATGGCCCCCTCCGACAACAAGACCGGTATGTTCCAATAACTATGCGCTCTTCCTATTGCGATCGCCGCCTTGTCAATTGTGAATTCGCCGTGTGCACGAGGAGGAAGATATTCGGATTCAAAAATCTCGATATTTGGAGATCACCTCGCAAAGAGTCGGAGACACCAGGACATTACGCAGAGCACTTCTGCATCACCATATGCCTACCGATCTCAAATATGCGCCTCCATGTCAGAATCCTCGACCTACCACATCAACACTGGCAAATTCACAATTGGCAATCTACCGAACGAACTTTTTTGGAATTTTTTTTTTTTTTTTAGTTCACTGGGCTAACGAAATCTTCTCTACAGGCAAGAACAAGGCCAACGCCGCCGCCAAGGCGGTTGCCAAGGGCGCTTCGGTACGTAGCAAAAGATGAAGCAGACCAAAGAAACCCTTTTGGAGCCTATCGCTAACGCGGTTGTGGCAACAGCTTCACAAGTCCCGCAAGGTCCGCACCTCGGCCACCTTCCACCGCCCCAAGACTCTCCAGCTGTCGCGGTCCCCCAAGTACCCCCGTGTGTCTGTCAACCACGGCCCCGCTCTGGACTTCAACAAGATTGTTCTGTACCCCCTGAACACCGAGAGCGCCATGAAGAAGATCGAGGAGAACAACACCCTCGTCTTCATCGTCAACGTCAAGTCCAACAAGCGCCAGATCAAGCAGGCTCTTAAGAAGCTGTACGATGTTGACACCGTCAAGATCAACACTCTTATCCGGTATGTTTTACTAGTCTTTTTTTATGGTTCAAGTGGATTGAAAGCTAACATTACTTTTCAGCCCTGACGGAACCAAGAAGGCCTTCGCCCGTCTTACCCCCGATGTCGATGCTCTTGACATTGCCGCCACCAAGCTGGCCATTGTCTAAGCGGGGAATGCTTGAAAAGGGATTTCTTAGGGTTTTGGCGAACTTTGTTTTAAACTGCGGTGATGCTAAAATACCAGCCGGGCTGAATGATCAAAAAGAACATAACTTGTGAAAGTGAAATGCACGATTCCAGAAGAATCGCCGGACTTGTCGGTCCTGTAATGGCTAAGACATGTTCCAGACCACATCGTAGTGCACCGTAATGTTGTAGATTTTTCTAGTCTATTGATCAGATATCGTGTAAACGGCCAAATGGTCCTGGATGTTGTAGTGCATTGAGACAAGAAATACACAGCTTTCTACAAGGTCAGACTTTTTGCACTTACCCCAGTTCCCATATTGTTTGCTATATATATATATATACCCAGTTTACATATATTGAATTCTCCAACCTAGCCTATATTGCATATCCTTACCATCCTTCTATAATCCGGGAGATAGTAGCGTCGATGATATACTTGGTCTACAAACAACATCCCCACAACAAATCCAACATATAGTGTACAAGACAACATGGTTCATAAATTGACTCTAGTATACAAGTGATGGTTCCACAACCCGTCTATCCATCCATAACCCCCAAAATAAACCGTCCAACTGCGGTCCAAGCAAAATTAGAGCAAGACAGGCTCCAAATCAGTCTTTATGAATAGTGATTGATATCCATAGACATGCATGACATCCAGACAGCGATTAGAAACAGTAATGGTAGAAACCGAGAACACAAGACATATAGACGCTTAGTGACCGGGGCCGCCGCGCATGTTGTCCAGCTTCGACAGGATGGACAGACTGGTATCCATCCACCGGTCAACGCAGTTCTGTGCGCATGCCTCCTCAGACTTATCGAGGGTACCGGAGGTGATCTTGCTGGTGATGCACTTTTCCCAGCACACTTCGTTCAGGTGGTGGACAGCTGGAAGGGATTGATGTTAGCTATAGTTCGATTCCAAGGGGATCAGGATATCAAGCGCTAGGAACCGTATCCATCTAGATCATATAGATCATGAAGTATAGAACCCTGATATGTCCGGATAGAAAGATGGACACTCACTCTGTTGAATGTTGGACTTCTGAGCCTCGTTGGTGAGGACCTGGTTGAGCTCCTTCTTATCGCTATCAGAGAGCTTGGTGAGATCGAGCTGTTGTTCCATAATGACGGTATAGGAGATGCGAGTAGCAATTGAGGTGAAATGGGATACGGAGAATGAGATAACAGCAAGGCAATAGACGGTAGCTGGGAGGATGTCCGCAGTTCAAAATCAAAGGCGGTGGACAGCGGCACAAAAATGACGCGCAGTTTTCCCTATCGATAGCAACTTGGGTTCCCTCGTTTTCTCGTTTAACATCGAAGAGAAGATACCCTGTCAACACAGTGTCATATCGAGCGCGTTTGTTTTAGAATATCGCATTACATCTACCTTGTTATCATCATCTGTAACATATCATCCGCCATGCCTCCGATCCGCACTTCCCGCAATCGCAAACCGCCTCCCGCTGGCTTCGACGATCTCGAAGATACCCTGCTGGAATTCAGCAACAAGATGAAGGATGCGGAGAATGCATCGCACGAAGGAAAGAAGAAATATGAAGTTCTCTGGCCTATATTCCAGATCAGTCACCAGCGTATGAGTTGCTCCTCTCCGCGGCATTGAGAAATACGGGTTTACTGACTTTTGCCCCTCTTATCTAACAGGCTCACGATACATCTATGAACTTTACTACGAGAAAGAAGCGATTTCAAAGGAGTTATATGATTTCCTGCTCAAGAACAAGTATGCCGATGCCAACTTGATTGCGAAGTGGAAGAAGCAGGGCTATGAGAAGGTTAGTTTATCCTCGGGAAACACTTTTATTTAAGATTTGGACTAACTGATTTCCCTAGCTGTGTTGCCTGCGCTGTGTCCAAACGAAAGAGACGAATTTCAACTCCACATGTATCTGTCGAGTGCCCAAGGCGCAGCTCAAGGAGGACCAGACGATTCAGTGTGTCAGCTGTGGCTGCAATGGCTGTGGAAGCAGCGACTAAAAGAAAGACCAAGGTTGGTCGGTGGCTGGAGGGTCCCTATTTGACTGGGGACCCCAGGAAGTAGTGGTGGGTTAACCACACGCATCCATTGGATAGGGCGTTTCGGTACTCTGCATTTCTGTTTATGTTTTCTTTTTTACTCTATCGGATCGGGTCAATCAGATACCCTTCAAAGCTTGAATGGCTTGTGGAACAGTTTGATAAGCAGACAAATAATGACTTTCAATTGCTAACTACATACATTATATCAAAGTAACGCCATCAATGTGTGTTCCGGTAGTTTTCCCATAAAGATAGCCCCAACCCCAATATCCAAATCATAAAAACCATCGCTTGCATGTACATCTTAGCATCGTCATTAATATCGTAACCAGGCCATCCCGGGCTCGGTGGAGGAAATGTCAGAGCCGGCTCCATCAGCGCAGCCCAAAAACTCCCCAAAGAAAAACACCGCCCACAAGACCTTGGAAACATCGCCGAGAACCAACTCCAGGATACAATCCAAAACTCAAGAAACAAAGGTTGTGGGGCGACAAAAGCAGGAGGATAATAGGTGGGTAGTAGGGAGAATAATCAAATCGAACAAGGTGGGTCTCCCAGAGATCCGAACCTATAAAAAAAACAAAAACAAAAACAAAAAAAACAAATCATGAACTGGGGTCATCTTAGAACAACGTCGTATTGGTGCGGTGGCCCATTTGTGGTCGATGAAGTGCCCTGGGCTTCAGGGTGTCATCCTTGCTCATACCTCCAATCTTTTGGAAGCCTTGCAAGAGATCAACACCATCCACTTCACCCGGGCTGTCATTGCTCTCATCGAAAAGATGGAATGAGAAGAAATCTTCCTGGCCAGCATCTCCGAAACGGTTCGTGTCTGGGAGCTTAGACGGCGATTCGGGGAAGATTGAGGACTTGGAGCGGGCCATCGAGGGCATACCCAGTCGGCTATTTATGCTCACCGAGGTGATGTCCGAAAGTACAGTGTTGCCACTGTCGTTGCGCGGGCGTTTCACCGAGCGCTTCTCGGGAGATCCGTAGGATACCTGTGCTGATCCCGAATCCGCGAAAACATCAAAGGAGGTATGGAAATGATCGTGAGGGGTATAGGTCTCGTCCTGGAGATTGAAAGCCGGGCTCCAAGGAAGAGCATCTTCAGAAAGACCTAAATGCTTAATGGGCGAGTTGACCATTTGCTGGATCTTTCGGCGGTGGTTGCGCAGGTTGGTATTGGGAGACACAGATGGTGGCGGGCGGGCAGGCTTCTTAAACTTGATGATAGGCGTCAACGGAGGCGGCTGCATGCTCACATACTGGCTGCGGAGAGGCGATGAGCCGATAGGTGGGTTGGGGTTTTTGCGAGGTGCTGGCTGACCAGGACTGACATCGTGAGATGAGCTACGCATGCGCGCGATCTCTTCTTCAGCACGGCCACGCTTGATGCGAGGAGGCTCGATATCCAAATCGGACGTCAAGATGTGTCCAGCCTTATTAGGTCTGAGAGCCGATGACTCCAAGGACGAGAAATAACCGCTATCATTCATAGTAATCGATTTGCGCTTGCGCGGGCGAGGCACGGGGGTAGGGCCAGATTGAGTGGGGGTTGGAGGAGTACCCTGGCGGGCGAATCGGGGAGGAGCGATGGGAGGAGATGACCGGATGGCCTGCGGTGGCGAGGAACGAGGCGCTGCGCGTGGCGCAGGGACGGGAACAACTTCGTCCGCATCGCCTTGAAGAGCAGGGTCAGACGCAGGCAACGTAGCATCCGAAGACAAGTCATTCGGGGCCGGTCTGGGGGCAGGCGCGTGATGAGGTGGTGCGTGATAAGCGGGCTGCGGCGGCACCATCCAGGTCGTGGTACTTGCGGTTTGCGACTGAGAAATCAGATCTCTCTGAGGCGCAGCAGGAAGAGGAAGGCTGGACATGGTGGCGCGGCGCACTTGTTTGTCCTTGAGGAATTGCGCCTCCATGCCAGGCTCAATGGCCCAGTAGTTACCCTTGCCAGGATCATCCTTGGGTCGCTCTTGCTTAATGAATGCCTTGTTGAGACTGAGGTTGTGTCGGATGCTATTCTGCCAACCGGGGTCGCTGTTCTTGTAGTATGAGAAGGTATCCGAGATCCACTTGTAAATTTGCGCTAGCGTCAAGCGCCGGTTGTTTGCGCGCAAAATGGACATCCCGATCAAGGTAGCATAACTATACGGAGGCTTGGTGCCATCATCCTCCACTGGCGGCATGTCATGTGGTTCAGGTAGATAAGAAATTGACGCGTCGTCACGCCTTTGTTTCTTATTAGATCGCTCCTTGAGCGGCGCAGCCTCCATGAGTGTGCGCTTCATTGGAAGTTTGGATTCATAAGATGGCTCTGGGAAGTCCGCGAAACTGTCATTGGATGGCTCTTCGGGGAGGTGATTTTCTTTCGATGATTCGGGATTGACGCTGGAGAATGTGGTGAAGAGAGCAGAATGTGGCATAGAAGTTGTAGAGTAGATGGGGAACGGCGGCTTCTTGGCTGGGGAGTCGGTGGTAAACATGGGAGGAGTGGGAGCAGATATCGGGATAAAACCGAGTTTTCCGTGGCGCGAATGGGAGCCCTGAGGGTGAGGTCCTTTTGTTGGCGATGGCCTGTGCGGGCCCGAAGACGGATGGGAAGATGAGTTCTGAATGGGCTGGAGTGGTAGCGGTGAGGGTTGCAAACGGGGCTGCGATCTGATGATCTCGTGGGCTGATGGGGCTAGCACTGAAGAGTAGTGTGCGCCCGTAGAACGCGTCGATCCCATAACCTAAACGATAGGACACCAAGTCGCAATATCACCAGTCACTAGAGGGACCATATGACGCGTAAACAAACTTGGGGGGAGAGCGCGACTGTTGAAAACAAGGCCTACGGCCGAGTTTGCGACAACGTGCGAACCGTGTCTAGAGCGTGATGAGAATTTGCAGAGAATTCGGATTGGGCCAATGGTACTCCGTAGATCGAGAAGGAAAGCCAATAACCTCAGGCCGTCATGCAGGCTTAGACAAGTTGGGCGACAAGGCGCTAAGGCGTCACACTTCCCAGCTGAAACGCGAATCAGGCCGCAGAGATAACAGATGAATGTGGATGAGATTTGGGATTTGGGAATGAAAAATAACCAAATATGGTACGGACTGCTGGAGCTGAGGATAGAGGATAAAGAGGATAAAGAGGACAAAGAAGACAAAGAAGTGAAGAATACAAAGAGAGTACAGGAAGAAAATAGAGAGAAGACTCTTGGAAGAGTAAACCGGGTTTCCTTGGGAAGGGGACGGGAATGGGGCTCGGGGGGGGGCAAAGGGAGATATCAGGCCCTTAGGATTTTTCTCTTTTTTTTTCACTTCCGTATGAGCCCTTGGAAGATACTAAATCATTATTATAGAATTCTAGAAATGTTCAATATTCTCTCAGAAGAAAGGCGGGGGGGAGGAGAGAGAGAGAGAGAGGGAGATCGATGGAGTGAGATAGGGTGATGATACACGTTACGTATGGTCATTTTATAGACGCGTCGCGCGTTTTACTATGGAAGGTGGGGCATATCGGGGTGGTATTATTGGTATTATCAATTCAAATTTGGGTACCAAAGGGGGGTCCTCCCTTGCTCACATTTTCTAGCGTCGATCTGATCCACCGAGGATGAACGGAGTATGTCAGGTCGACATTATTGCCTTCTACTATTGACTATATTGTCTATATTGTCTATATTGTCTATGGAGTATATGTATATGGAGTATTGAAATACATATTCTATCTTTAGGCCTTGGGCTACCATATGGTGTCTATAAAATATATCGCACAATACACAATATAAAAAAGTCTGCAAGTATGACACGACTGGATCCATCTAGGCCCGACACTAGATGCCGATTACTCTTAAATCCCAGCATTGGCACCCCAATTGGTCCGGCCACCCCGGTATGTGGACGTGTCAATGTAACTCTGAAACGGACGCTGCTTTCCATCCCTTGTTTCTTCGCTGTCATGGAGGATCTCCTCAACACCCTTGACTAGTGGCCAATTACTCTCGGGTGCATCGAGGACCAATCGATTTTCCTGGCCTACATCGTACAACGCATATGCTGCACTCTTGCCTGCAGGTTCCGTAACCTAATTATCAGAACTCCGTACAGAGACTATGGAGTACAGAGCAATGAATTGCAACTAGAACGGGGGATCTATTGTTCGAATCTAGGGGAGATCCCTAGTGTCTTCTTTCCCCATGCCCTTGCTTGTACATCAGAAACCCCATGTCACAGATTTTATGCACTTACGCCATGTCTGAGTCGGTGGACGTACCATATACCCTCTACCGAAGCTTCCCTTTCTTGCCATTTTCACCAGGGTGGTTAGAGTCGCAGTAAGTAAATCTTTTGGTCAAAATGGTAACACTCGTCCATTCCCAAGCCATTGGAGAATTTAACGATGCAATGGCTCTCGGTTTCAAGCAAAGCTAGAGCGAGATATTTGGCTAAATCCAGCTAGAGACAATGCTAATCTAACAGTGACAACCAAGGTAAGTCGAAATGGTGCCTTATGACCGATTGATAAATCGCAGCCAAGCAAGATTGGAAGGACCCAGCAATTAGTCATTTCAAAGGTCAATAACTAATAGTGACCAAGCTGCAGTCATCGATGGTCTTTGGTCTTTTCACCATCAGATCAAGAGGAGATACGGAGTGTACTCAATTCTATTCAGGGTGCAAAAAAAAAAAAAAAAAAGAAAAAAGAAAACAGCTAGGGGTGAACACGATTATGGGAAGGAACTAAGAAAAGGCACAAGAATCGAATATATAAGAGATAGGTGTGATTAATATCCCAAAGCACCTAGAGTAAACCATCTCTCATGAAACAAACGCTTCATGACTTCTATTCTAAACCAAAAAAAATGGAAGGAGAAAACGCCAAGCCCATGCCTCACGAAAAAAAAAAAAACCTATGCTTTTGGTTTTCCCAACAAAAGTCGGCCCCCCCTGTCTTTAAGGGGGTCTTCGACTTCTGTTGGATGCATAATTTTTTTATATCAATAAAACCCAAGGGATATCTTAAACAACAATGATTTTTTGCTCGATGCAAATGTGGGACGATTTTTAGTCCAAGAAGGTGAACATGCTCGTATGGATGATATTCAGGGCACGGTCGGCGTCTCGTTCTTCAATGACGCAGGAGATATTGATTTCACTTGCACCTGTGAGGGGGGAAGAAATATCTAGTTAGCCCCAGTCAAGGGTACAAAAGGTAGAGCGAGGGGGGCGGGAGAGTGGAGATCAGCAATTATTTTTACTCACCTTGCGAGATCATCTCGATATTCACGCTGTTCTCCCCGAGAGTGGTGAACATACGCCCTGCGACCCCAATCATATTCTTCATCTGCTTGCCCACCAGGCTGAGGATGGCCATCTCAGGGATGATGTCAACAGTTCCGTACTTCGCCAGGTCGTTCAATGCTCCCTGGAGATCATCATCAATGACCTGATACTCATCCCGTCCGTTTCCATTCAAAAGGGGCATCTCTGAATGAAGGGCCAAGGACACGTGGACCTCGCTAGTCGAGATCAAATCAATGGATAGACGCCACTTGTCCAATACGGAGAAAATGCCCGCAAAGAAACCATGGGAGAGTGACCGCTTGTTAGAATGCACGTTGATCACCAGGATATTATGTTTAATGGTGACTGCCGTCGGGCGCTTCGGTGTATTCGCGAGACTGGGACTGCGGGTCCGGAACAGACGTGGATCATGTCCTGGTGTGGTTCTCTCCAGTTCGGCCACAGAGTCAGGGAAGATAATAGTGCCTTCGTTCTTCGGGTTCATGACGTTCTTAATGCGAATAGGGATCCTTGCGCGAATGACTTGCTCCATGGTGAACGGATGAATGACTTCGGATCCGTAGAAAGTCAATTCAGCGGCTTCGGCCGGGGTGATGGCCGGGAGCAGATGAGCCGTTGGCACTTTACGCGGGTCCGCGGTGAAGATACCATCCACCTCCTTCCACACCTGCAGCTCCTGCGCGCGGGTTCCGACTGCGACAAGGGCAGCACAGAGATCAGTATATCCACGACCAATCTGATCGAGCAGACCACCAGGGATGGTACCGAAGTACCCAGTCATCACAGGTACTCGATGCCCGCACGCCTCGACTTTGCTGCCGAAAGCCGCTGCCAGGGTGTTATAAAAGGCCTGGTCCAAGCCGTGGGGGCCGATGGGGAAATCAATAATTTCCGCAAGATCCACATACTGCGAATCAACCCCGCGGTCTTGTAGTAGAGCGGCCATGAGCAGACAGCTCAGCTTCTCACCGGTGCTCATAACCTTGTCCACACAGCGCGCACTGATCTCTCCCAGGGTCTGAGCGGCCTCAAGGAACTTGAGTACTCGTTCGCATTCTCCGGTGATGTCCGCAATCACTTGATCTCTTATTTCTGCCGACTTCAATTCTTCCTGGGCGACGTGAACATGCTCCAGACGAACAGCCTCCACCAATGTCAGATATTGCCGCGAACGAGGGTTTTCAGCGTCCCGTGCTGCCCGCAATAGCCTGTTTCGAAGGAATTGCATCAGTATCGCAATCGTGATATGAAGAGTATCACCATGACTCACCGGTTCGTTGTGCCCTCGGCTTTTGTAGAACTGCTTCTCGCAGAGCATACGACGGCGACTCTGTTATTCACAAGGCTGGGTCTGTAAGATTGTTAGTCTCCGTTCAGTCGAAACAAAATCGAGGAAATGCGTCATACTCGACCACCTGCTCAATGATATTGCGCGCAAACTTGCCCACACTAGTGCCGCCGAATTTCTGCACGACCCAATTGCTGTGGGCCTGCGTGGTCACTGGCAAATTTGAATTAAGAATGGTGGTAGCCATAGTGTCAAGCCAAGAATAAATAAAGACAGTGGACAATGTAATGCAAGGGAGGGAGAAGTGGTTTTGGAGGGGAAACCGGCGAAAGCGGAGACCATTGGGGCCGCTTCGGGCTGCATATTTTTTTTTTTGTGACTCAATTGGCAATAGAGTTATCCAAATTTAGACCGCCTGCCTGTTTTGGTCAGGAACAAACGATGTCGGCGGCCCCACCAATCACGCCATTCTCATAGATTAAATGCCCCTCATTGGCCTCTTTGGGATAAATGTTGTTCCGGAGTATACAAAGTGTAGGTGCCCAAGTAGGATACACCTGCATTGCATCCTAACGTTAATTCCCAACATTGATTCATTTCGCTTGTTGCAAGTACTGCCATGAAACCACTCTATTTCACAGATGTTGTATCAAACTCGTTGGAGAATTATTAACGACAGTAGCCCATCCATTCGATTCCGAGCTCTGAATGATTGACTAGTATACCTCCCACATGGACCCTGGATCTCAAGCAGACCTAAGATATCACGGACCTGAACCCTATAGTAGCACTATTAGACGTTTCCATTAGACGGTTCCTTGATTTTGACCTCGCAATTGAAATAGCTCACCTAGCATTTGAGGTTCCAAATCTGCAGTTGGGGTGGACGAGAGCCATAGACCGACCATCGAGGTTCAAAGTGATGCATGCATCCCTTTTGAACGTATTTCTTCCATCCCCACCCCCCATAAATTACCCCGGAATCGTCCTCCGTGATATTCTCCGTGCTCATGAAAGGCAGCTCAGTTACGATGAGCGCTATAGGGCAGGACTTGGATTGAGTTTGTTTTTGGGACTTTAGTGTTCCGGCAATTAGTTTCCTATAGTCCTGTCCGTAGTTACTTCTACGTATCCTACCGCTTATATTCCCGAGCTAGTTCCCTTTCCCCCAATCGTCGGGGTCTGCGTATAAGATGTTAGATGTGAGTATGCTACACAGCGTTCAGCTTCATTAGCTCCCAATAGTCCCTATTGCCATGTTAAGTCAGAGATCTAGGATTAATTTCAAGGATCAGAACCATTTCGTATTATTGACTACATCATAGGCATTAACTTGGTGCGAACGACAGCTAAAAAAAAAAAGCAAAAGCAGCTTTTCGTCAAGTTATAACAAAATAGGGTAGAATACTGCGTCCCGTATTTACCGAAAAATAATCAAGTATAATTCAAGTAAATATGGGCTATTCTGAGTGTCTCGAAGGGAGTATAAATGTTACTACGAAGTATAAAATCCCATTTTGGGTAAACCATGCGCTATGCCAAGTCGATCCTTTGCCCGCTTTGAATGGTGGAGACTAAACTAGATGATCAGTGTCTACGTAGGTGTTAACCTGCAAAAAACACTAATCCGTGTATATGTGTAATATACGCATTACGAAGGTAGGCAGTGTCTCTTGGCAAGTATATGACAACACCTGTAAAGGCTCGTGTGTCCCAAAGACACTATCTTTCCGAGTGCTGGCCTGTGGAACTCATCACCAGCGAGCTGCCTTTTATTCGGACAGCTCTTGCAATGCATTCAGGTGATGAATAGACTGGTGGGCAGACGGTAGAAGCGACACATTCATCAAGGGTGGGTGTGTCAATTTAGGATTCGGGGCACTCTCTTTGAGGTCTCGCTCAGCGTAGTGACTAAACTCAGGTCAGATTTCTGTTTTATATACCAGGGACACATAGAAGAATACAATGCTGCTACTATAGGGACAAGCCCGTGATGTCGGTTTGAACCTAGCGTGAGTGTTGTGCTATACTTGCGATGCATCAATATGTTGAAAGTGAAGGTTGAAGTAGGAAATAGAGAAACTATCGTTAAGAGTCTCGATTTAATGCCTTAAAAGCCAACACCTAGAAAACTAGTCAGCTATATCGGTTTCTATTCTCACATTTGAGGAAAGACGTTGTGACAGCTTCTACTGGGCTACATAGTTTTAGACTATGCATTTCCTTCCTCTCTCTTCCTGATAAACCCCCAACACCTTCGATAGATGAGTTACACAACATAAACGCCTCTGTTGTTTTGGCCCCCACGAAGGATACGATACATGATCCTTCTACCCACTGATCTTGGTCAGAAAATAGTGACAGCACAGCCCTCTCTTATTGCCATATTGGGAAGATGATTGTCATTGCCAAGATGCTGCCGCTTGGCGTCTTATAACATAACAAGACCAGAGTCCCCTGCCTGGTTTCCCCAAAACTTACATTCAAAGATATCGACACTCCCTATTGATGTGGGAGGGTTGTCTTTCCTCGAATTAATGACAGTGTGACAGCGCTTGGCCCCAAGATGCTTCCCAAAAGGCAACAGCACGATGCCGAGGAAACAATAAGGAAGTCACAGCCACTAGCGGTTTTCCGGCCATGGTCATGGTTTCCAGACTATGCTGAAGAGCCCAAGAAGGAGGTGCAACAAATAACGACCGATCCCGATCCTGTTCGCAGATGGATAAAAGGCGTTGTGATCTGTTCATGGATCATTGGGGGTGTCCTCGCCTTGAACATCATCCTCACCGTCATCGCTGCTGGTCTGGCATATTCGGGGAATAGTGGGCAAATCTTCTCATTTGCTTCACTCTATATGGGAAAGTGCTCTACTTCCAAGAATTGGACCACTGGCTTGCACCTCCTGATCAATATTCTCAGCACTGCCCTTCTGGGGGCGAGCAACTACTGCATGCAGTTCCTTGCAGCCCCCTCACGAGAACAGGTGGATAAAGCGCATAGTCAAAAGACATGGGTTCGAATCGGCGTCCCGAATATCATAGACCTTATTCGTTACCAAACAGGCAGGCGACGCCTTCTAGGATCGGTCCTCCTGATCACCTCATTGCCTATTCATTTGATGTTTGTGGTGTGACATGCCTAGATTTCAATGTACTCTGGCTGATATGAACTTCTGCTAGTTACAATTCTGCCGTTTACTTCTCCATTGGGCCAATGGAATATTCAGTCGTTGCAGCACAGGATAGGCTTATTCAGGAACATGGCAATACCACGGAATTTGAACAATGCTTCACAGAAAATGTCGGAATGGAATTGGCATCTTTCAATTCTGCGATCCGTGATGGGAGTTTCAACGCTCTCTCCAAGCAAGAATGTGTTGATATTTTTGCTCAAGACTATGCATCCGGGTATGGAATAGTTGTTCTGATAACCAAAGACTCGATTCCTCAAAACGAGTCCGTGGCCTTGATAGGAACTGGAAACAGTCAAAACTTTGAGGGTGGTAATTCTCAATTTAGCTGGCTGTGTGACGAACAATACCCCTGCACCAAGAGTATAGCCGAAGAAAACACCCATAACTGGACCGTTCGCGCATTAACGTGGTCACGTCCCACCATTCGTCTGTCGGTGCCTATCCCAGGCGGAATTTATGAGAGTGGAGGATGGTTAGATGTTGGACATTACGGCATTCCCGAAACCGAGGACTACAACCATCTTGATGATATTCTCGACAAATATCCTTCCCTGGAGGAGCTGCAAGTTGAGCTAGATAATCCTTCCGGCTGGGTTAACAGTTCATTCCCGGGTAGTGTTACAGTACGCAAAGGTGAACCTGAGTGCACGTACCCGAGAGTCTACGGTAAACAGACTTTGCGATCATATTCAATCGATCACTGTATGACGCTGCCAATTAGGGAGACTTGTCAATTATTCTTCAGCCCACCGATCTGCCTGATTGTAATCGGCTGCAATATAGTCAAGCTCATCTGTGCGCTGTTAGCGGCGCGCGAGAACAGAAAAGATATTTTCCTCACTACTGGAGACGCGATCGCATCTTTCCTTGCCAAACCGGACCCAGCCACCGAGGGAGCCTGTCTGCTGTCCGGGTCTCTAATTAAGAAGAGAACACAAGGATGGCGAAAATACAAGGGCCGTGAACGCAAATATTTGGATCTGGAGGAAATCAAACAAGAGACTCCGCTTCGTTTACCTCCAAGAAAACGATGGTTTCAAGCTGCGAGTATATCCCGCTGGGTGTATACGATTCTCCTGTATGATATTACCCCTTTCATGACAGTGACAGCCTCAGCGAGCAGTTGACTTACTCCAATTAGATTCGTGTGTATGCTGATACCATCCGTCATCGTTCTTCGCCTGGGGATTCTCAATTACAACAAAGCCTCAAAATCGAACAACCTATGGGACTCTGGCCTGGGGGATGCAAGCACAGGGACTACCCTAGCGGGCCTGAGTATTCCCGGTACCGCAAGTGGGATATTTTCCATGATCTTCCTAGCCAACGTACCACAGATACTTGTCTCACTAACCTACTTCTTCTACAATGGCCTGCTTACCTGCATGCTCAGCGCGGTCGAGTACGACAACTACGCCACTGATCAAAAACCCCTTCGCGTATCCTGGCCCCGCGGCGCCCAGCGTTCGACATACTACCTCAGCCTTCCATACCGATACAGTGTCCCGCTGCTGGTAGTCTCGGCTGTTCTCCACTGGCTCGTATCCCAAAGCTTTTTCTTCGTCCAGGTAATCCCATTCAATCGGCACGGAGTACCTCAAAGAAGCTCCCCAGATGTCCTCGTTACTTGCGGCTATTCACCCGTTGCCATAATCTTCGGAATAATCGTTGGTGGCTTGCTGCCCATCGTCGCTGTACTTCTGGGCTTGCGTCGCTTCAGATCGCACATGCCGCTGACTGGACAGTGTAGTGCAGCAATAAGCGCTGCATGTCACCCCATGACTACGGCGGTTGACCATGCGCTGAAACCAGTGCAATGGGGTGAGGCTCCAGATAATGTCTTGTCGCATAGCATGTTTTCGAACACAATAACGACGGATATTGAATGTGACACTCGACCGAGAGTTGAGAGTGATGAGCAACGGCCGTCTTTGGCTGCTGAGCTGGATAGGAACGATTCCAGGGCAGTTGGTTTCCTGCATTGCTCATTTACCTCGGAGGATGTTAGTGAGCCGAGCACATCACGTCTCTATCTCTAGCTCAAATAGGGTGATGATGGGAAATCTAGAAATCCCGCATACTGACGACGATATGATCTTTCTTTTTTTTGGATAATATAATAATCATATGATTCATTTATAAATATATGGACATAATAAGATGATATGTATGAACTGGACGCTAAACTCTTCCGTAGGTGGGTCTCGGGCAACGGGCACTTTTCTGCTCTTTAGGCATCAAGTTAATCCTTTATCTATACTTCTGTCTCCACTGTTTTTTTGCTCGACTGACTTTGCTTTTTTCTTCTTCTCTGCATTCTGTACATATATCTCTGTTTCTCATATCTCAGGCGGGGTCTGCTAAGCATCAACCTCATAATTTCCCCTCCACCGTCAGCATTGGATGAAAACTCCATAATGGCCGACAACAACACCGCCTCATGCCCTTTTTGCCCTTTCACGGACTTCGATGCTAATTTTGTGTCCCAACACATCGAATTCTGCCACCCAGAAACTGGGGCAACGGGTTTCCTGCAGGACAACCCGCAGGAATTCGCAGGTCAAAGCTCGGCTCCACCGCCAGTGGACGAGGATGGCGCAGAAAAATATATCGACTGTCCACATGGATGTGGTGAGACAATAGAAAGTGCCGAGCTCTCGAGTCACCTGGATCTGCATGTCGCAGAGGACATGGCGCTGGATGATATCGGGGCCACACCGTCACGCTCAACTCCAGACGTGCATGACCATGGGTATGATGAGTCCTTTGATGATGAAGATCCCCTAGACATGGTCGACTCTCACAAAGGAGGCAAGCGTGGGATGCAACGAGACTCCTCGCGAGTAAACACTGCCAAGCCACCACGGCCTCACAGTCCCCCAAGGACAACCAATGCCGATGGCACAAAGAGACTAGGGGTATTTGTCCCAAATTTGAATATTTAGAAATGAGTACTAACAATTTTCAGCGCTCAGAACTGGGTCCTCATGCCCACGAGAAAAAAATGCCATCATGGCTAAGGAACATGTTGGAAAAAGGCGGCAGCATATCAAAGCAAACGCAAATCACTTCGGACGGCAAATTCACACGGCGCGAGACAGTAGAAAACGAGACCGACCATCTGATTCCTGTTATTGCTCGGTTGTGCGAACAGGACAAGTCCGTCCAGCGGGCATTCTTCTGTAGCCCCAAAGTCCGCCATATCTGCAAGATGCGCCGGGAAGGCGGGTTTTGTGGCTATCGTAATATCCAAATGATGGTCTCTTGGCTGAAAAAGTCCCGTGGCTTTGGCCATGAGCACTTCCCAAAAAAGGGGCCGACGATCCTTGAGCTGCAGGACATGATTGAATCGGCCTGGGATTTGGGGTTCAATAGTTCTGGAAGAGCCGAAACAGGTGGTATCAAAAATACCCGCAAGTTTATTGGAACGCCTGAAGTAAGTCTTTTGGTCGGTGTCGATTATCTTCTATATCCTACTGACTACCCAGGCACAAGCACTTTTGATGAGCCTAGGAATTCCGTGAGTTGTCTGGCCTACTTCGTTTTAACCCCGCTAACTCCGGTCTCCAGATGTGAAGCCAGGAGTCTGGCAGAGAGAAGCGATGTACGGGCCTGTGATGCTCTTTACATTGATGTCGCCGACTATTTCCGATCAGCTTGCTCACCAGAAGACCAGACGAAGATCGTTCAGACTGATCTCCCTCCGATATACTTCCAGCATCAAGGTACAGCTTTCTAAGTCTTTCAGCACACATATATATCTCTCTAACTTGAACCAGGTCATTCTATGACAATTGTCGGATTTGAAATACGAGCCAACGGCAGCGCAAATCTGCTGGTTTTCGATCCCATGTTCAAGACTTCCCCTGCAATGGAGCGTCTAATCGGGGCGTTTGTCAAGCCTTCAGATCCCACTCGACTTCTCAAAGCATATCGCAGGGGAACGCCTTATCTGCAAAAGTACAAAATATTCGAGCTTCTCAAGTGAGTGATTGTTCAATTTTTTAGATATTCTAATGCTAATCAGCACTAGGCTACGTATAACCAGCCCGGAACATGAAATCATATAAAATCAACCCCATTCAGTTAACATTAAATGTCCTTTGTATCATGATTAATTGAAACATTAAAAACAAAGCGAAGTTACTATAAACGTCTTTTATACATTCCCAATGCGGTAACTTACCCCTCCACGATAAGATAGCCGGGACGAAAATTAGTCCGAAGGAATTATTTCATCTGGGGAAACCATTTTCAATCTACAATCTGCAATCCGCAATTTACAATTCCACTTTAAGATCTTAATTCTGATAAGAAAATATGCGCACCTCTCCAAATGTGATCATCACCGGTACCCCCGGCGTGGGGAAGACCGTCCACTGCGAACAACTCGCACAAGAGATCGGCCTGAAGCACCTGTCCATTAACCAGGTCGCAAAGGACCGTGGATGCTTCGATGAATATGACGAGGAATTGAAGACCTGGGTGGTCGATGAGGATAAGGTGAGAATGTTTCCCACAATAATCTTCTCTTCACCTGGATTACGACGCTTTTCAACATGGTTCGAGACTCAAAAGTTCACATACTAATACATGCGCGGCATAGCTCCTCGATGCCCTCGAAGACGAAGTTCCTAATGGCGGCTACTTAATCGATTGGCACGCCTGCGACCTCTTCCCCAAGTCCTGGATCGATCTCGTCGTTGTCCTCCGCTGCCCCACTACAGATGTTCTATATGACCGCCTTTCCTCACGGTATGACAATGGACCTCACAAATATATCTACGCCGTCAAACTAACATATTTATTTCAAGGGGCTACCACGAGAAAAAGCTAGAAGAGAACGTCGATGCAGAAATCTTCGGCGTCCTATCAGACGAAGCACGGGAGGCATTCGACGAAGAGATCGTGGTAGAATTGAACAGCGAGCAGGATTCAGATGTGGACTCGAACTGCCAGAGAATCGCACAATGGGTCGACTCATGGAAGCAGTCCCACGCGGAGAATGCGGATTGAGGGAATTCGTCGGGCCATATACAATTGTTGATCTTCGTTTCTCATTCTTCTATGGTCTTTTGCGAGGCCGAGTTATATACCCATGGCGATTTACTGTTGGCCTTCGGCGAGCCACTGCTGCAACTTCACCAGCGCCTTGTACCGGTGCGAAATCTTGTTCTGTTCGCGGGACTTTTAGTACATGACTTTTTCACGGGAAACAAGATCGTTCTTACCTTCTCCTCCTTGTCCATCTCGGCATAAGTCTCCTTGCCGTCATATTCGAAGATAGCGTCCCAGCCTGTCATATATCAGATTTTGATTTCTGCGAAACCCAGTTGGATATTTACTTACCGAACTGTCCTGAGCCTCTGGGTCGCACAATAGCACCCTGTACATCACGGTTAGGTTTATATAGATTTAAAATGACAGTATTGCCTCACCTCAGTTCTCCCCTGGAAAATAATGGGCTCTTCGCCAGGGCCTCGGCAGAAGGCAAAGGTACACACAGCTTCGGCAGTTCTGTCCTCGAAGCCATCAAGCATCTTGTTCAAGCCCTCGTGTCCCAGATTCTCCATGAAGGATTTGCTTGGCCATCATTAGTATTATTATCAGAGAGTAAACCTTTAATATTGCAAAGACATACATGTATGGCCCAGGGAGACCCTTAAGCGCATGGAACTCAAGCGCAGTGTCCTCGGTCAAGGCAGGTCCATTGATCTATCCCCCCGTAAGCAGATATAATCATAGCGTAAAAAGTCTAGGGATAAATTACCGCTTCGGCGGCACGTCTGGCCTTCTCTTTGGCGATTTCCTCGATTGTGCCTTGGATCTCGGGGACGTCGACTTCCTGGTTGTCCACTTCGATGACCTTACCGAGGATAGCCCGCACCTCGAGGAGCTTGTTTTTGTTGCCGGTGATGAAGTTGAGCTTGGTGAGAGTCATTTTGGCTGTATAGACAGGTATTGGTTGGTATTTGGTATGGGTAGGAGTTGTGAAGTTAAAGATTAAGAGTGGGAACCCCACTGCGCTACCGCTACCGCTGACCACATATATCGACCCCAGGTGATGGTCATGTCAACCAGCTATTAAAAAAAATCATTCTCACACACTTCAGACTTATGTTATATTAGACCTTAGAAATGACTTCATTTCGTATTTAATATTCCCTCCACCTTGGAGAGCTACATTGTGGCGCTCCAACGATATGTACCATCCATAGATGGGAAAGAGAGTCGATAGAAAGTTGAAGATAGCGACGAGCATGCTGCTAAACGTCGCTCTCAGGGTCATGCATATGACCGTTTCAATATGTAGGGATTGGGAGAAGCTTCCTTGAGCTGATTGGGCAGAAACCTTGAATACTGAACCTGCTCGGGATGGGGGGATGGGGTCAAGTAAACGCTTTGAACATTGGATTGCTCGTTTATGTTAGAAAACTCATTTACAGGAATTCTCTTAGCAATCTCTTCTGGTCTATAAACCAAGACGTCATATGCAATTGAAACAAATGAAAATCATGCGCATCACTGTATCGCAAAGGCCGTGGATAATCCAGGCAAGTCGTAATCCGTAGCTCACAGGAAATTCCCAAAGTCTAATATACAACAGTACAGATCTATTCCTCAACCATCTTGTGGTCCCATTCGAACTTCTCTTGCTGTGCCATCGCTTGCGCGGACACAATCTCAGCAAGTCGTTTCAACCGCGGTGTTTGGAGCCAGGATGGGGTATAGGTCTCCAGAGCAGTGATCACACGCGGCTCGGCGATCTCGTACGGGCCACTGTCCTCCATGTCTACCGGAGCCAGGAGGAGCACATCACTCTTCTCTGTAACGCGAGAAGCGACGGCCTTCATGATCTCGCCGTTGATGGGCTGTTCGTAATCTGCCACCAGATACTGATTCAGAAGTTTCTGGATTTGGTTCGGAGACAGCCTGCACATAATTAGTTATGTGAACTCGTGGGAGAAGACACGTCCAGGGTTCACTTACATCCAGCAAATATCTTGAATGATCTCAATATCATTCAGAGTGGCCTTCTTCAGTTGCAGAAGCTTAGTCGCTTGCTGTGTCGGTGTTAGTATAATGACCAAATGAATATCAAACAAGGGACCTCACCATCAAATGCTCTAGCTTCAACGTCCCCTCCGGCATGTCATGACTCTTGCACCACTCCTCAATACGAGTGATGTTGTAGTTGATTTGCAAACCACGCTTCCATGACAGGAAGTTACGTCGCATGAGGAGATCATTGAAAGCAGTGACACCAACTAGGCGCAAGAGCTCCGTGACAGTCTGGAGGACGATGGCATCCTCAAGGTAGAAAGCCTTCATTGCCTTGTAAACACCGTTCAATAGACTGAGGAGGTTGTCCATGCTGTAAGCTGGGTTATTGTTGGAGGGCAGAAGCTTTCCAAGGAAGCGATTTGTTTCACTGGTGACAAAGCCGGGAAGTGACTGAGACTCGATGATGGCTGGAACGATCATCTTGTACAACTTCTTCTTCAAAACCTTCATCCAAGTGTGATAGATGTTGAACTCCAAGCTCTCAAGGTCGTGCTTGACAATTTCCAACAGGCGATCATACTCATAGTTCTCGGTCTTTTGTGCTTCATACCAATCCTCGGCCAGGAATACAAAGGATAGCATCTCGTGCACGTTAGACAGCCAGAAAGCACCGGGGTTGATTGCGTCGTCCCCATCATGCTGCATAACCTCTTGCTGGATGGACTGCATAACGTTGGCCAAGAATCGCTCCGACTCCTTAACAAATCCGTTATTCCACATTTCCGACGTAACAAGGTTGATCAGGTATGCTGGGAACAGGACCTCCTTTTCAGTCGGTGGCGGTGTCGAAGTTGGGAGCGGAATCTTCAAGTTGCGGATAAGACCCATGGCGACCTCCTCGTTCAAGTCCTCCTCTTCAGAAAGCAAGTTCTCGAGCTCCACCTCGACCGACTCTAGACCAGGAGAGATGGCCGCATTTTGACGGGCAGCCACAGATCCAGGGGTGACCGCCATCGAAACAGGCCTAGGGTTGTATGCACCACTGAAGCGATCCGTCTCGATCCTTTCAGCACCGGCACTGCGTCTTTTGGGCTTAGGTTTCTTTGATGAAACCAAGTTGATCAAGCCAGGGATAGGGGCCTGGACTGCACCACCGTTGGATAGACCGTCGCCGTTCACACCGTTCAAAGGCACAGATCTCTTGGCAATCTCGAGCTGTTCCTCGAGATCGGAGATCCGCTGCCGAAGACCAGTCTTATCCTTCTCATGTTCGGCATCCAAGAGCTTGAGACGCTCTAACTCGTCGTTGGCGGTTTGAAGAGCCTCACGGGAGATTCTCTCTTCTTCTTGGAGGCGCTTGATGGTAGCCTGGGCTTCAGTGTGGCTTTGCTGAAGCTTACTCATCTCCTCTTCAATCGCCTCTAACCGGGCTGCGGTGATACCAGCCTGGTTAGCTTCAACTTGGAGTTCCTTCGTGCGAGCCTCCAAGGCATTATGTCGGGTTCTCCATGACTTCAATTGGGTATCGTAGTTGTCCAGCTGTGAGACCAAGGTTTTGTTCTCAAGCTTGAGAGACTGCAAGTACTGGGTCAACTCGACCACCTTATTCTCCAGCTTGTAGGAAATCTGCTTGAGATCACGGGCATCCTCGCGAAGTCGTTTATAGGAATTTCTTGCCTCTTTTCCTCTCCAGAGGTTTTGGATAGTGATGACCTGGCGGCGATACTGTCTCCAGGCCCGGATTTGACGCCAGGAGCGGAAAGCACGTTGAATAACCTTGGCCGCATTTCCATTGATAGAGTCCATGATGTTGCGTCGGCACAGGAATCCCTTGGCAACAGACTCGAACAGGATGAAGTTTTTGCGGATTTGAGTGTAACGTTTCTTCTCCTTCTGGCCACGCCAGACCCGCTGGATCGTAGTAGCAGCCTTGGTCCGGCGGATCTCGTGGGCATGCTGGCGTGCCAAGAAACCACGGATGAAGGCCTGAGTGGTGAGAATCGAGTCACGAGCATCGAGGTAGCGGCGGCGGTAATACTTGGCACGCAAGTTCTTCTGGATCATG